GCCGGCGCCCGCCCGACGGCCCTGGGCCCGAGCCGCGGACCGCGGGGAGGCGGGGCGCGCGGGAAACTGCCGGGGTTTCGAGGCTTCGCCAAGGTGACGCAGGAGGAGCCCTGGAGGAGTCCAGAACTGGACACACTGTCAGTTTTCTCGCAAAGAGAGCGACTTCCAGTTCCTGTCCCCACTCTTCGTCGTGCTCCCCCTCCAGCAGCGCCGTAAATTAGAGGTTCGCCTCGTTTCACATGGAAGGACATCGAGGCCCACAGCCGTGGGGTACCTTGCACGGCACAGCGCTCGTGCCCAGTGCAGTGGAGGGTGCCGGTCCGGGCCTGCTTCCCTCCCCGGAGCTCAGGTCTGGGAAACAGCTGTCTGCGCCCACCCTGCGATCCCGCAGCCCTGCTCGGACTGGGGGAAGCGCCCTGGGTCTGCTCCTTGCAGAGTGTTCCTGTCCCCCAGCACCGCTGAGGATTTCCACATGTTTCACACGCGCTTTGTTCTTTGACCAAATTAAGTAACATCTGTCCCTGGCGTTTGTTTCATCGGATTTTTTGAACCTCCACAACCTCTGCCCGGGGAAAGGTACACTGACTCCTGAAAAGCCTTCAACCCGCTCCCCACCAGGGCGCCACACTAACATCGGTGACCCCCAGGGGGCGCTAAGTTCATGAAGGAAGCTTGGAGTGCTCCTTGAAGGGACCAAATGTTGAGTCAAAGAATTGAAGGCACCCAACCTTTCATTTCCCTACTGTTAAAATAAAGGCCCAGGAGAGGGCGGGAGTTACCTGGGTCACATGGAAGTTGTGGTCTCCAAGATGCTTTTTGCAATCCAATGGCCAAGCCAGGCCGAAATGGTTGGTCCCTTAGAAAGACAATGAACATTGCTTATCATGGTGGTAGCTAACATTTATTGAGGGTGCTCGCCAGGAAAATAATGATCTGAATTCTATGTGGGTTTGAAATGAGTTTACTATAAAAGCAATCTTGTATGCTGAGGTCATTCCAGCAAAATTAAAATGAATGTGTTTGCACATAACTAGAAGTAAAGAAACAAAGAGGGCCAGGGATGTAGCTCAGCGCCACAGCACCTGCCTGGCAAGCGCGAGACCCTTGGTTTGATTTCTGGCAACAAAGGAGGAAAAAAAAAGGACCAAAAGAAATGAAAGAATAAACTTTAGTCATTATCATTAGTTTGATTTATCTAAAACTCTTCTGTAGCCATTTCTCGTAAGTATGATAGAGTTTGAGCATTCTAACAGCAGGGTTAATGGCTGAAGTATGTTCCCTGCCAGGCCCAACAGCTCCTTTTCTCATAAGTCACACACACACACACACACACACACACACACACACACAACAGCGCAGGCTGTCATTTTCTTGTTGGAGAAAAGAATACGTGGAGATTGCCTATATCTTTGGAATCACCGGAAATACAATATCCCAATTGTGTACCCTGCTACACTTCACAGCGTAATTTCTTAAACTCCAGGAAGAATATGCACTGATTGGAAAGAGATCTCGTGATGTTTCCCCTCTCCAGGTATTCTCCTTTTTAGTGAAAAGCCAGAGAGGATCCATTTACAGACTTCTAACCTCTCCCCTAACCCCCATGGGTAGAAATTATAATGCCTGCTTTGACAAGGGACAAAAGTACTGAATGACCAGGTCTTTGAGACTGAGAGTCTAGTTGTCTTGTAGATTGTAGATCGGCATAAACATTGAATTTACTACCACACGTGCCTTGAGAAACTCCGTCGAGAAATATTAGAATTAGGTCATTCACATTTTTTGAAGTAAACCAACAAAAGTTTTCATGTCCAAGAGGCTAATGTGAAATGACTCTAAATAAAAGACCATGCAGTATAAAAAGTACAGGGTACTGCAGACCTACGCAGGCGGTTACTGAGAGATTACTGCAGATTTCCCTCCCCATAACTGACCAAGATGTCTGGAACTCCAAAGAACAATAGCTCCCCCTGAGTGGCTGTTTTCCTTTTGGAAAAAATTGCAAAGGAAAGCAAGTTGTCCCCTGGCTCTTCCCCTATGGTGGGTCTTTTCTGCCCGTTGTCCTGCCTTTCCTGCCTTTCCCTGTCCTCCCTTTCCCCAGAAACACTCTCTCTCTTCCTCCCTCTCCCTCCCTGCCCCTCCCTGCCCTACCTTCTCTGCTCAGAAAATCAAATGTCTTAACCCTTTGTATAGGAGAAGGCAACACACATATAAAAATTTCACACACAAAAAAAACCATGATGACTTACCACTTAGGTCAGGTCATGAAGTGGATTATGGTCAGCTCTCCAGATGTTCCTCCAAATCAGGTTTTATAGTAAGTAAAGCCTTTTTTAGTTTCATAGTCTATCTAAGCATCTATCCTTGAACCCAACAAATTTTGTACACTTAGCTTGGTACATTTCTGGAAGGTACCAAGTAAGAGTGGCAGTGTGAGTTTGTGGCATGTGTACGCTCTGCGTTAGTACATACTGCACATTTCCCAGGTTGATACACCAGTTTTCATCACCAGCAGCAAGTCGTAGGCCTCCCAGAGCTTCACATCCTTGACACTTAGGACAGACATTCTGGTGACTGCATAGCAGAATCTCCCTGTGGAATTCGACTTTTTTCATAACTAAAATCATGTACTTTTTCTTGGGTTTATTAGTCATTTGGACATCTTTCTAGACGTAGCAATTCAATCTTTTGCCCATTTTTATAATTATTTATCCTTTTAAAATTCATTTATAGCCTTTTTTATGTTCTAGTTCTAGCTCTTTGTTGGTTGTGTCTTCTAAGTATTTTCTCCCATTCTTGGCCTTACTCTTAATGCTACCTTCTGATAATAAGTTTTTAGATAAAATATAGCCAATTTTATCTATTTTTATCATGATTATATTTTAAAAGGTGAAAGATTTATGCGACCTGAAGAGAAACCAGAGTATCATGATTATATATTAATTATCCTAAGAAATGTCTTTAACATTTAAATGTGATCCACCTGAGATGGATTTTTTATGATACAAAGGTGTGAACATGTAAAAGTTGCTTTATCTTCTAAATATAAATAGGTA